AACTTTTGATTGAGAAGTCTGATCGAAAAAGTACGAATTGTTTTGGATTCTACGCACCAAAATTAATAAGAAAAAGTGTTTTCCCGAGAAATTTTGGTGTAGTCGATTTTTGGTAAAAAAGGAAGGTTATACACTGCCTTTTTTTGAGCCCCGAAAAAAAAATTGTCTCAGATCGACCCGGAAAAAAATTTTCTTATAGAATGTGGCCTGTAGAATCCATAATTTCAAACAGTTCCAAGATTGGGCTACTAGTTCAAAAGTTACAGCCCTTTGAATTTTCTTTCGAAATTGGTTTCTAGTCTATAACTTTTGATTGAGAAGTCTAATCGAAAAAGTACGAATTTTTTTTTATTTAAACCTGCATCCGCCTTTCGGTTATTAGCAGCGGAAATTTAGGTACAATTTGATACATAGGTTTTGCAGATTTACAACTACTAGGAGTACTAATTAGAAATTAATTTTAACTTTCATGATATTCTAATTAAAGGTCTACCAACTTCCGCCCTTCTTTATGACTTCTTATCAAAAAAGGGGTTGGGGAGCTGTGGAACTGGTTTTATCCTTCATGGTACTCTTATGAAAAGTTTCAACGAAAGCAACTAATTTTTACCAAACCTAGTCCCTCTTATCGTGATCGAATATATTCCCTTATATCCCCAGAACAGATTGACGGAAGAAACGATGTCAATGCTTTCAGTGCAAATATCTGGCGAATAGAATGTCGGAAGATTTTGAATGTATGCCAGGCGTGATTTAAGTGTTTATGTGTAAATGGCTTCCTCCGCCATTAAATACTACCTTATAATCCAACCATTTACTAAGCTATTTCGGTTTCGGTAAAATGCGCTTTATCTGCACAAGAGTTTGTGCACAATTTTACTTGCTTTTATAAATTGGCGTTTCGACTAGATTTTTCTTTGAAATTTTCTTATAGAATTAGTGCTTTTCTTTATATCAGTGGAAAATTTGTAGTTTTAGCTACCCATAGGTATGATTTGTTTATTGGGGTGCCATTTGAAATTTTAAAAAAATATTACATTGAGCGAAGGTCAATCAAAAATTTAATTTTTTCGATAAAGAAAGTGTGGAAGAGGTGTTAACCTGTGCCTCAGTCAAAAAATTAGCCGCTTGCGCTATTTAGTTTCTCGAATTTCGAAAAACTGTTTTGACGAAAAATGATTATAACAGCGAAATCGTTAAAGTTAGGGGTAAAACATGTTACATAAAAAAATAAGTACTTTTCATAAGTACTCTCCAAATCAGTAATTAAATATGGGGTATTCCATTTAAAACAATGCTGGTTTGATACGCCACTGGAATACAGCACGCCCCTAGTGTTCAAAAATATTTTAGAAACATGCCGGCGGTAATTGCGTACAATTTTGCTCTAAGAATTGTTTTCGATGTCTTTAATGGTAAAGGAATCATGATCCGAGGGGTCTTAGGTGCTACACTCTTTATGTGTATCGGCCATATAAATGCAATGGAAAGACACAAAAATATAAACAATCCAAAAATTTTTAAAGAAATATTGCTACTAATAACAGAAATATTGAAATTTATTTTTAAATTTGCGGGTATACCAAAAGCTTAATAAAACATGTAAAAACAGTTTTGTATGCACCTTTTAATTCTGAATAACTTTAAACTCTACAGTTTTTTCCGTAAAATGTACAGGAGAGCAAGGTATTGCATAAAACTAATTTCCCATTTTAAATCCCTATGTACCTACTTACCAGCCAGAAACAGAAATTAAATTAAATTTGGGGAAAAAACAGAATCTCATTTATTTTCTAATGTTTCTGTAAAACGCCGGAAACTGTTCACATAGATTGCCTACAACACGATGAATTAAATACTGCCTGCAAAGGGGGCCTTCGAAGTGACCCCCGTAACTCTAAGCAACCACCCCCATCCCAATCGTGGGCGTCTCGACTTGTCCGGCACCTCATTCTCCTTTTAGTTCGTACTTGCAGTTTGTGTTGCTGTGAAGAGCCAATATTTTCCAAATTAATTTGTAAAAAGGTAGTTTTTTAATCTCACTTTGGCCGGCTGGCTGGCAGCAAGTGCGGACCCGTAGAAGAATGCTAGTGGAAAGACGAGGAGTGGACATGTACTAGCGGATCCGTGTAATTAACAACTTTAGGGACGGGGCCACATGATCTAGGGTCGGCGACATCTGGGCGCCATCCCCGAGTGTTATACTAACGTGGTGATTTTCAGTTTTTTCCTATATTCTTAAAACAAAGTACCTTGCTGGTCTCTAATTTGTCGAACGTCATGAATAGTGTGCTAATATATTGGGTGCTATTTAGTATTTTCTCCAAACAATTGGGTTTGTTTACAAATCTAGGAAGAAAGCACATTCTTTGAGGACCTCAATTTCGTACGCTTCATCAAAAATTCTCGGCTGTGTACCTTTTTTAGTACACACCGATTCTGAGTCCTAAACTTACGCACCATGACATGCTTAATGTCCGATTATCTTATGGGGATGCATTTGATAGAATACTGGAGCAGTTCCACGCGCTCATCGGTTCCATACAAAAAAATTATTTCACTCCTTTCAGGTAAGGTGTACCCCACGATTTATTACATATTTGTTATGTGTTCCGCTTCCTAATGAAAAAGAACAGAATTAATATTCCGAACACGTTAAGATAAGAAACGTGTGTTCAAGCAAATAAAAGTCGAAACGTTACATTGTTGCCGGTCCTGGCCCCTGGTCCGTAAAACTAATTTATGTCCAATCGCATTTAAATAAATCGTTACCACGAAGGCGTTGGGGTCCAAGGTGCAAAATATTTGGAGTAGCTAGATACGTTATAAAACAAGTTGTCATTGTCAGGTAAATTCCTGGATTGAGTTTCCGACTGCTTATAATATAGGCATAGTATATAGCTTAGTACATAGTACTGGGAATGTTGCTGGACGACGCTGACCTGTTTCTTGTATTAAGAATCTTATAATCATTTTTTTACGAGTCGAACGACAATATTACATATCCTTAAACGATATTAATCTCGAAGAACTTTGGAATGTGGGAGTTTTATAATTTAAGTCAACTTAACATCTACTTTTTTAACTAAATTTTTCCTTGGCCCTTTCTCCTAAACCGGAAAGTCTTTGAGAGTTCGCCAAATATAGAATCTACCGCAAAAAGACAGTTTTTGCTTGCTATGAGTCTTGTCGATTTGCTACCGTGGTCATTTTTGTCGTGAATTGAATAAGGAAAACTGACCAATTCTGTGGATCCAAACAGAATTACGTCAAAGTGCATAATTAGCAGCCAAGCAATTTGTTTGTGTGACGTCATTACCATAGCTAAGTAGATAATTTAATAAAACGCCCTCGTAGTAAAGTAAAGTGCGTATAATAAATCACAAGCGAAATGTTTATTAAGTTAATTTATTATCGGAATTTTAGAAAATGGGGCTGTTGAGTGTCACGCAATTTTATGAAACTGTGAAAAATCGCCATCTATTAAAAACCCCTTTCCAAATAAATTATACCAAAAATTGGTTTAAATTAGACTAATTTGAGCTGTTGTAAATAAATAGAATTTCTCAGTAATCTTCACATTACAATGTTAGCAAGTTTAGATGCAAATATTTGGGTTATTAGCATACCCATGTGAATTCCAGAGCGTTTCGTAATAGTTAATATTTGTGAAGTTAGTTATTATTCATAATAGCATATATTATTCTACCTAAAGCACATACTACCCCTTTCCAAACCACACTGTATGAATTTCCATAGTTTTCTTACAACAATCCACGCTAAAAGTATATGTTGCCTTCAATTTACTGTAAAATGGAAAGGAAACCACAAAAAACAATAATTTTATTGTCTGTGTATAAATAAACGCGAATAAAAATGGTTGATACTTGGTGTTATTGATGTACCTACAGTCGGAGAAATTGAATTAAAACGTACGGCGATTTCAAAATTGAGTTTCCACAGCAGTTCTTAGTAACTGATAATGAATAATAATCGTTTTTTACATCGCCACAACCCCGACAAAATTTTCCACGAGGTCGCAAATATTAAACAATTTCATAATGAAAATGGGAAATTCATTATGTAGACAATATGTTGTTTTAGTATACGTTTCCATCAGCCATTGCCAATAAACATACAAGTCAGGTAGTCCATTAGTATTAATTCATCAAGAGGTTTAAATGGGTTGTGTAACGGGGACCCGTTAGGCCATTCTAGTTTTTAGAAATTGATATATGTAATGTGTAAAATTTGCATATGTACCGCTTTATATGAACAGTGAGCAACGACAACGATCAAGCGTGTTTAAAAATACGTAAAATTCTCAGGTATTTTAAGTAACGGACGCACTTTCAAAAGAAAAACTGCAAACTACCCAGTGTAAGGTTCTCGACTAGTTTTCATTTTAGAAACGGGTTACATCATTAAGTGCACGTTTGAGAGATCTGCATGTGAGTTTAAGCCGTCGATGAGCACCCTTTTTTTTGTTTTTGCTTTTTATTTAAAAAGTTAGTGGTTTTGAACTAGTAGACTTGTGAAATGGTGTGTCTTAAATCTCTAGTTAAATGCTCTAGAAATCATTGGGGATTTGACTAATTACTAGTTACACCATCAAATCTGTTGGGATTACCGGTCGCATTCAATTTGCAAATACACGAGAACAAATCTGCGTGTTGTGATTTATTGTTCGTCTTCTAATTTGATCGTTCTACGATTCTTCAGTATTTACATTAATTATAACATTTCGGAAAAGTTGAAGGACGTAATTAAATGAAGTAATTTGATGCGAGAAAGAGGCTTAACGTTAAATATAGATATCTGATAAATTAATATTTTGATCCTACTAATTTAAATTCACCCTCTTTGTAATTATACTCACTTTAAGACGCATCACGCTCCATAAATTTTTACATCACGATGATCAACATTGAATTTCAATTTTGCGAAGAAAATTGTCGTTTGCATAAAAACTATTTGAACTAACGCTATTTCTATTTCAGATGTGGATTTATGGACTGGGGGAAACTTTGAAAAGGGCCGCATTGACAAGCCATGCCGCTACTTCACGTTTAAGTGGAGAGCTTTGCCAAGTTTTAACAAATATGACCAGACCTCATGCCTCGGTCAGAGCCTCACTTATGAATCTTCTCGATGTGAGTAAATTAGTTTATAGATTTATACCTTTATTTTCTATTCAATTAAACAATGCCATTAACCAAATTGCTATACCCAAATTCGCTTTGCGTTAAACTTAATCAATTAGTACAAAGCAGAAATTTAGATGAACTTTATTTGAACTCCATGCTAATGAAATGGACGTTAAAAGAGAGCAACATACGAACGGGGATATTTATTCTTCCCTATTTGCATATGAAACAAAAATAGATTTATAAATAACGTATTCAAACAAACTTATACTTAATTTACAACGTTTCACTGTGCAATTGTTTAGCTACGGTTTTATCAGGAACGTTGGCCAAATTTATTGCTTAATTCGCACCAGTTACGTTATTTTACTTCTTCGGCACATAACAAGTATGTTTGATCTACGCTTCGTAGTCCGGAGGACTCACATTTACACAAATGTGTCCATCATTGCCATATATTTTGCTTTTCAAAAAGTAAGGTAATTGAAAAACTGCATACGTAACTATCTAATAAAACATGATACAGAAGAACAAATGTGCGCTACGTTGGATACATCCACGACTCTTTTGCGGATAAAGCTCATTTTTTAAACTTAATCAATTATTGCGTTATAGTTATCCACGTTTACTTTCTTGGTGGATGATTGATGGGGAGGAGGCTCTTTAAAAATAAACATTTAAAGGTTTCCTGCTCCTGATTCAGATAATTTAAAAAGCACCCCAATACCTAACAACAAATAAGTCTTTAAATTCGGTTGTCATGTTCACTTTGTAATTCAGTATAGCTTTTTTATGGAAATCTACCCCAGAGTTTAACGTGGGACATTAATCAATCCGGCAGTGAAGTGTAATTTGTCGATGTTCCTAAAGTTTCCGGTTATTTACAACTCATACGGTTTGGTTACAAATAGCGCAAACAAAAAATTCCATCGAAAACAATAAGCTTTACGTAAAAAAGTGAAGGAAAGCTAATATTACGTTGATAAACTGAAATTTCAATAATTTACCACCCTTTAAAACGTAGAGAAAAGCATACGGAGATAAAACACGGGCCCGCTTTACCCCGGACGTACTCGGGATGATATATGGGCGAGTCGGTGTGAGGAATTTTAGAAATGAGTATCAAAAGGCCCTTGTCGAATTGAATTTAACTTTAAATTATCTATAGTCGTTAAAACGCTCGAGCTTGCAGCGAGAATGCAAAGAGTATTAATTTGTTCATTGAACTGGGTGTAAATGTGATTTCATAGTTTGAAATTTAATTCCAATGGGAGATTATACGTACCACTGCACCGCGTCGATTATGACTACTGAAAACTACTCTCATCCCCTTTGAAGTCAAATTGCAAATCAAATTAAAGCGCCGCCGTTGGCGTTTGGTGATATTTTTATTAAAAAGTTCAAACTAATCGGGGTGAACGAAGGCGGAATTTAAAGTAGCTACAGAATATGATTAAATTAAGGAAGGGTGAACAAACGTAAACATCTTAAAAACAGTTTCTGTGTGTTTTGTAGATAAATAAACTGGTTGTTATTCTTAGCCAAAGAGTACCTACCCATCTTTGGCTATAACATATTAATATAAGTGTGTCCCAAAAAGTGTTATACAAATTGAGACTTACATTTCACAAAAAAAATATCCTTGTATAAAGCTCTGCGTTAATGATAGGGCCTTAATTAAGTACAACATTTTTAAAACATTCGGTAGCATACAGGGAAAATCAAAAATTATGAACGGATCTTACGATGTTTCGTATTACTTCTTAATCTGGGCTGACTTTTCATTTTTATTTACAAGTGCTGCTTAGGCAGTAACAATTGTAATGAAAATTTTCTCTCCACTACAGTTTAAACGTAACTTTACTCTCACTCTAGAAGCTAGAGGACGATTTTGATTTTCCGTTTACTCCATCAAAAATGTTTTGCTTTTTCTCCATTCGTATAAACCTTTTTGGGATGCCCTGTATAAAGATTATCAATTTCCCTGTGGAAAATAAATATTATTAGTATCTCTTCGAATTACTTCTTTCAGTCTCAAAACGGCATTTTCTTAATCATCAAAATACGCAACTTCGGCAATCCCCATGGTGGCCCTCGAATTTAAATCAGCCTGTATATTGCCAATTTGTACCGACTTGTCACAATTTCGCTCTTGCTATCTAAATTGAATTATTTCTTTCCATTGAATGTTGAATTACGATTTTTGTGTGTTAGCTGCTCGACGTTACAAAGATTTTTTCTCGCACTTTATAGGGTGTCCCAGGAGAATGTTTTGGAAAATTAAGGTAGACGTTATTTGAAGACAAAAACGCTAATCAACTATATTTTTATTCTCAACCGTTGCGAAGATATAACCAACATATTGCCTAGTAATAAAGCGGCTATAAACCAACTATAGGCAGCTTGGGGAACAATTGAGTATAAATAAAAGTTAATTGTCATATAAATAATATAAATATAAATAAAATAAATTACGCAAAATTTAAGAAAGGGTATGGAGGTCGAATTGTAATTAATATATTGTTTGTGTTAGGTCATTTAAAAACTTGATCAGCTTCCGCCAATTTAAAAGAATTATTTAAATAAAATGTTTCAATAACACCTAATAATCCTGGGTATCACTAAAAAAGAGAACTCTTATGTGGGTCGTAATTTGTGCTCGTCTAATCACAAAACCAATTATTTACAGATGAAACAAATTTATATAACATACAATCAGGCTACAAAAACAAGCACTCAGGGCCAGAATCCACAGACCACGCTACATATTATTGATAGACAATTAATTAAAACAAAACGTAATTATATTTAAGTGTCAATAATCCAAAATCTCCGGTCGTAACAGGCGCACAAGAGGCACAAGATGATGGTACTTACTTCGAGACTTCACTTCTTCGATTGCATTCAAACTTCGATTTACACAACAGTGTTGTATTTACAATTATTGTATTGGCCCTTTGATGGAGAACAAACTTCCTAAACTGAAGACAAACGCTCGATAACCAGAACACTCCGATTAAATCTTTTTATAAACAGGAAAATGCGGGTCAGCTTAATCTTTCACTTTTTAACACGACGACTTCAATCTTTTAATACTCGTAACATTCAACTAACTTTCTTCTAAACTTAACAATTAACAAAGACTGCCTTTTTAAAAGCAACAAAACTGGCTATTTTCATAGAGTTATGCTATTTTGCAAAGAAAAACGCTCAAATTACGTTTTAACGTCCAAAAAATTTCGATCTCGATCAGGGTGTCCTATACCTAATAAAACGGCCGCCTGACGTAGTTTACACAACAATATTATCTGCAATGACGGTTGCAACATGACTTTCTCAAAAAAAAATTTATTGTATGACCTTTATCGTATCACACTAGCAGAGGATTTAAGAAGAATTACACTTCCACAATGGTTTGCAAGAAATCTGCCTAGATTACTAAAATCATTTTTTGAAAAACACGCTTCATTGTGGATACTCGCCCATGAAATTGTTGATTTTTCGGTATCAGTATCTCAAAATACCATCCAGGATTAAATATATCAAAAAGAATTGGGGGTACCCCGATACCCAGATAAGAAATTGTAGTGTTTTCTCCACACCTATAAAGGGTGCATCATCACCTTAAGGAAGGGCATTTTTAAACAAGTATAAATTGTGTACAACTCTTGTGCAGATAAAGCGCATCGTTTTTAACCGAAATAGCGTTTGTTTTCACATCACTAATGGATATATTTCTTGCAGATGTCTCAATCGCCCTTTGTGCCCAGTACCCTCTTCCGACAATCCGTTCTTGAGGTATAAGGGAATATACCCGATCACGGGACAGTACTTGATAGAAACCGGTTCCTTTCGTTGAGACCTTTCATTAGAATATAATGAAGGGTAGAACATGTGTTTACCCCCCCCCCCTCTCTTTTTCTAAAGTTTAATTTGGCACCACTAAAGGCATGCATATGCAAAATCTGAGACCAATTGGTTGTCGTATGTAAAAGTTATGAACGTTTTACTTTCAATAACAGCATCTAAGGAATTAATTCGTGGGGGGGGGGGGGCTTTTAGACAGCGAAATTTGATGGCCGTCTTAACACCTTCGAGGTATAGGCTACTTACTGCAAAAATTCCAGGACTCTAGGACCATTCCCCTAGAAGTAGTTCAAAACGGTAGAAGTGGGTTCGGACGGACGGACGGACAAAACGCAAACAATAGCACATTCTTAAGATATAAAAGGAACCACAAATGTTTATTAGATTTCTAAAAGGCGCAAACTACATTACATATAATAGCACATTTTTTTTAATTTTTAAAAAATGCGCTAAAAATGTTTTATTACATTTTTAGATGCGTAGCTTTGGTTAAATTTTCAAAAAAATATCTCCATAAATAAGAAAGTTGACATTGTACTGTAGGGGTAGTTAAGGCCTCGGATGAACGGAAAAACTGACTATAATAGCAAATTCCAACGTGAGTTGGAAAATGCGCTAAAAATGTTTGTTTTGTGTTACCACTAACATTTTTACCACTTGCACGTTTGTAAGGAAAATGACCCCCATCCCACTTTTTGACGTTTTGAAGCACCAGGAATCCGAATCCAACAAAATCTCGATGATGTCGGTCTGTCTGCCGGTCCTCGTGCCGGTCTGTCTGTCGCCCCATGAACTTTCAGTTCAGTTCAGTGATTTAGTCCCTGTCATCTAGGCCCTTTTTAGAACCGCCTTGGCTACTCTTAGAACGTAGAATTAAGGAAAGGGTTCTCAGCAGATTCATTAAAGTTAAAAGGTCCCTAGAGGAATGCACTAAATAGTTCTAAAAGACAGACGATTTTAAACCTCATTTGGAACCGCTAGAGATTTTTCCCTAGTTTTTTTTCCAGACCTCTCTGCACCCTGACTTCTGGGACCTTTTCAGATTAGTTAAAACCGTATGATTGGTTTCAAGAGTCTTATAAACGCTTTTCTGGTATTTATCTGTATGCCCTCTACTATGGCGTTCCTAGTTCTTTTCA